GGAAATCATCACAAGGAAAAGGTGAAGTATATGCAGACTTCTATATAAAATAAAAAATCCACATCACATTATATTGCATTTTTCTTTTGTCCTTCCTCCAAGGAGTATGAAGTAGTGTCCAGGATTCTCTCATCTGTTTTATTCTCATACAAGTCCTGGCATGTTTGGCTGAGAGGCTGGTTCATGGTGAACCAAAGAGCTTCATGGCTTAGTGTGGACCTCAGTATGGATTTTCCAGATCTTGGTGTAATATTTATCTAGCCACAGCACCATATTGACCACCATTACTTATCTGTAACTGATTAAATTAACGTCAGTTCCTATTTAGAGAACAAACAATGCACCCTGCATTGGTTCAGTGGTGCTTATTCCCTGCATGGAGTAGATAGTGTGTGGCCTTCCAGATCTTGTTGAAATGCAGTTCCGAAAAGCTTGGGAACACAGCTCATGATGAACAATTGGGAAGGCCTCATGTTCTCCATCCCAGTCTTAGTACATGCGTTTTGATTGCAACCTCAGTGACACCTCGTATCTCCTGGCAAAGCTCATATCTGCTAGTCAGGGATGTGGCACTAGAAAGGAGCCATCTCCCAGTACACTAAAGATGTCAGTTTACCTACTGCCTATTCCCCAGCACGACGTCTGTGGCTTGCAACAGCATGCAAAGCCGAGAGTTTAGAAAATAATGTTTCTCCTGGCATGCAGACACAGTAATGGAAAATGTTTCCCTTGCTGAACTGAGGCCTTGGCATGCAGTTGCTGAAGACAGAGAATCTGCGCCAGGATAAAAAAAGTTGGTGATCCCACTTGCTGCAAATTGATGCAACTCATTGGTAGTAAAAGCAGAGGGAGGGAGGCCAGACAGTATTTCAAGTACAGAAGGCCAATGGGAGATCCATCTTCCATCCAGACCATCAACTCACTTGGGTGCCTCACATCTAGTCTATCCTAAGTCAAGCAAGCCACTCTGGGTGAAAGAGGAATTACCCTGGTGTAGATAAAAAGTCAAATGGGACAAGATGAACCACATGATTTCAGGGCCGTTTTTGCACCACTTTTTCTTTCTGTGGCGGAAGTTTCTTTGTTTGCTTTTGAATTATAGAAACCTCTGTGATACATTACTCCCTTCCCATCTGCACACCTTATTCTTCTGTGTGTGGTGCCTTTTCTTTTAGTTTGTGAGACCAAGGACAGAGACTATTGTACAGTATTCAATGGTTTATAAAAGTCACTTTGGAAGCCCGTTTTTGGCTGAAGGGAAGATGTATAAATACATTCTAATTCTGGCCGAAGTGCCTGTCTGTCTGGTGGTGGGGGGGGAAAAGGGCATCAGAAATCTGTAAAATTGCTAGCAGAGTGGCTGCAGGGGAGATGTTGTGTCAGCCAAAGTCTCAGTGCCCTGGCAGTGCCATCGAATCTCGTAACATCTCCACTGTATCACTTCTTGGCCTTTCGGCTAAGACCAAAAGTAGTATCTCCATTGTTTCAGTAAAACTAATTACAGAATCCAAGACACAGTTGCTCTCCCATGTTTCCTAACTCCATACTTATTTACAGTTGTCAAAGATGACCCATGAGCCTCCCAGAGGGCCTTTTAGAAGTTATTACAAAATGGGAAGGGCATGTTGGCTAGAAGCTTTGCTTCTGAGTCTATCTGCCCAATATAGCATGGATCATTTCTGTGTATTCATGTACGTTTGTGTGTGAGAATTGTGATGGTCTGGGGAATTAAGAAACACACTCCCTGGGGTCTTTAGAAGGAACTGGGCCAGTTCCCAGATTCTGTTCAGAATAAAACATCTCGTTCCCAGCAATGACTCTGCCATGCTTATTATGGCAGTTTAGATAAAGCTGTGGCAAAACCTGAGTGACAGCCAGCTAGATTAAACTCAGTTGCAGAAGAAGCAGAGTGACCGAATGACAAGAGAAGTGACCCACCCCCGCTCTCCAAGCATCAGCTACCCAACCTCAGGCCAGTACAGCAGCAAAATGTCTTGTGCAAAGAGCGAGCCTGCTAAAATCAGAACAGGGACAGTCTCAAGGGACTAAGGACTTCCAAGTTCTTCCTGTGACGTTTGTGCTCTTCTTCCTTGGCAGTGGCTGCTGCTGCTGCTGCTGCTGCGTCCTGCAGATGATCTGGATTCTCAGGGACATAGGACCTGTGCCAACACTCCAGTGTCGCTTTAAGCTTTCACAGCTGTTTAAAAATAGCCCCTGTGTACTGGAAAATGTGATGGCTACCTTTTCTCCTGGATGTGGTGGTAGGGGTGGGAATGCAATCAAAACTATTCTTGTTCTCTCTCTCTCTCTCTCTCTCTCTCTCTCTCTCTCTCTCTCTAAATATACAAATTATAAAGCATGAAATTCCTAATGGGTTTGTGCTGATAGACCCAGGCTCAGCAAAATATTTCAGTTTCTAAAGCTGAGTTTAAGCAATTGGACCATCAAGAACTTTCAAGAGTTTGGGTATCGCAGCTTCCGAAGGCTGGAATGGTAGTGTTTCTAGACTCTGTTGCTTGCCTTCTGTAGAGAAAGAAAAGCTGCCCACCGAGAGCTGATGGAATCACGCTGAGACACCAAGGAGTGAACCAGGGACTCTCCGAAACCAAAGCATTTGCTGAGCAAGGGCTTTTCTTTCCCTTTCCCTCTCCTTCCTTGTGGCATCCCTATCTACAGCGGATGCTGGAGCCAGAATACTGAGAACTGACATTGCCATATGGGTTCATGTTTCTCTATTTTATCTTTAGTAACTGTAGTAAAGCAACATTACTTGAGTACTCCTAATTATATCATTCCGGTAGGCCATGGCTACTCCAGCAAAATGCATCTGTCACAATACTATTTAGTCACAATAAATATCTGTTCTGCTCTATGGAGACAGTAAAGGTCAAACTGCCAGCTATTTTCCAGGTTGACTGTGAGAATCAAGGAGCATCAAGTTACATTAAATCCAGTGGGCCATACCCTACACATGCATCTATGGAATATGTAACTCCTTTCTTTCATGCTGATCTCCTGAAGGCTTAGAGCAGACATCCTCTCCCCCCCCGCTTGACTGTTCAAGATGGTTTGAAAGAGGAATCTGGTTTGTACACTCCTTCTTTGTTTGCCTGTGATTAACAACATTTGCAAACTTTTGTACCATTCTTTAAAAAAAAACCCCAAACTGTTTGGGCAATGAGGCCAAAGTAATGTGGATATACTCCACATATGTGAAGTATTACTATTTTGGATGACAACAAGCACTGTATGGGCAGGAGAATTCTTTTGGGGGGCTATAGTAAAAAAAAGAAAAAAGTTATCCCAATTTCTGTCCATTCAACTGTCCTGTTGTTGTTACTTGCCATCAAGTAGTTCCCAACAAGTTTGGAATACTCAACAGTGGCCAGAGGATTGGAAAAGATCAGTCTACATCCCAACCCCAAATAAGGGCATTGCCAAAGAATGCTCCAACTAACGTACAATTGCATTCATTTCACACTCTAGCAAGGTTATTTTCAAAATCCTACAAGGTAGGCTTCAGCAGTATGTGGACCGAGAACTGCCAGAAGTACAAGCTGGATTCCGAAGGGGCAGAGGAACTAGAGACCAAATTGCTAACGTTCTGAATTATGGAGAAAGCCAGAGAGTTCCAGAAAAACATCTACTTCTGCTTCATTGACTATGCGAAAGCCTTTGACTGTGTGGACCACAACAAACTATGGCAAGTCCTTAAAGAAATGGGAGTGCCTGACCACCTTATCTATCTCCTAAGAAATCTATATATGGGTATATATGAGACAGGAAGCAACAGCTAGAACTGGATATGGAACAACTGACTGGTTCAAAATTGAAATATCAACCACCTCAGATATGCAGATGATACCACTCTGATGGCAGAAAGTGGGGAGGAATTAAAGAATTTCTTAATGAGGGTGAAAGAGGAGAGTGCAAAAAATGATCTGAAGCTCAACATCAAAAAAACTAAGATCATGGCCACTGGTCCCATCACCTCCTGGCAAATAGAAGGGGAAGATATGGAGGCAGTGTCAGATTTTACTTTCTTGGTCTCCATGATCCCTGCAGTTGGTGACAGCAGCCATGAAATTAAAAGACGCCTGCTTCTTGGGAGGAAGTGTCATTGAAGCGACCGACATGACTTTCACCCAACTTCGGGAGGCAGTGGAAGACAGGAGGGCCTGGCGTTCTCTGGTCCATGGGGTCATGAAAAGCTGGACACGACTAAACGACTAAACAACAACAAGAAGTTCCTGACATATGACAGCCCCATGAATTAATGACTGCCAAAAGGTCCCTGATTCCCAATGTGATGTAGCGGATGAAATGATGGACTAGGACAGAGTTTGAATCCCCACTCATCCATGGAAAGTCACTGGTTGAGTGGCACTGGTAAAACCACTCCTTAAATATCTCTTACCTTGAAAGCCCAATTAGGGTCCTATAAATGGCACGGAACACACACACAAAGTTCTAACTTTAACAGCCCTGCTGTCCTGGAAACTCAAGGCTGTGGTTCCTACATTGAGTCAATCCATCTCATGTCACCTCATCCTGTTTTCTTACTGCCTTCCCTTTCTCCTAGCATGTCCAAATTAAAATAGCCCTAGTATAGTCGTTTTAGCAGGTACTTTCTGAACCTGCCTATTATCTGTCTCCACCACCTTGAACTCCCATACGCAGTAGAGGATCATTAAACTGTGAAGATATTATACTCGTGCACAGGAAACAGGTTACTGATGTGGTCCTGTGCAAGAATCAGTACCTGCAAAAGATTTCTCCCACCGTTTTTTTTCCCTGACAGTAGTCTTCAGGCTCTGGGCTTGTGCCCTTTGGATTTTTCTGCACCTGCTTTTCTTCGACTGGTTTATTCTCCGTCATGCCTAGTAGTAGATCGTAAGAAGGGGGCGTGTTTGCTGTTTGGAATCTGGGCTCCACCTCGCTGCAATCCAGAATGGAAGAGAGAGAGAGAGAGGAGGAGGGAGGGGGGAGGAGGAGGACTCGATGCGAGGCAAGGTTGCCTGAGGATTTTTACAATCTGGCGCCGGCGCCACGGACAGGCAGCCAGTCCGCGAGGGGAGTGAGAGGGCGTGTGTGTGCAAAGGCAGGCAACGGTTTCTCTTCCCAAAGGGCAGGGAAGAGTTGGCAGAGGCCGGTCTCCCCCTCTTGTGCCTCCTTGCGAGCTCTCCGGCATGCCCGGGGCGCGCGTTTTTTGTCTCTTGTGCCTCAGCTTTCTTCTCCTGGGGTGTTCAGCGTTCAATCTGGATGTGACTGAAACCATCCTCAAATATGGAGAGAACGGCAGCTTCTTTGGCTTCTCGGTGGCTTTGCACCAGCAGCTCCAACCTCAGCCGGTCAGCTGGTGAGTTCCATGCCTTTGCATGGCCGTGTGTGTGTGTGCATGCGTGCGCGTATTCCATCGCTCTCTGTTGACAAGAGCCGGCCTGAGAGGTGGTGCGCGTGGAGCGCGCGAGGTGCGGCGGTGAGGTGATTTCTCCCGCTCTCCCTCTCGCACGCCCGCAAGAGGCACCTTGGTGAGGCAGCGGAAAGTCTCGCTCGCCTGCCGGCCTCCCCACGTTAAGGAGAAGGGTCACAAAAAATCTCGGCGGGAGGTTGGCGTGCCCGTTTTGAGCGCTGAATTACGCTGTGCGCGTTTGTGTGGGAAAGAAGGAATGAACCCAGCATTCTCTGTTTCCCTGTGTCAGAAGGTCAAACTTTACACCACTTCTGTCTTCCCTTTTTGAAATGAGATATTTGAAATGCATAATATGTCTTTTAAAAAAAAACCTGGGACTCCGGGCCGTTATTTACAAGGTGCTCCTCTTTTCCTTTCCCACCACACTGGGCATCTGGGACCTTTGGGCAGCCCTTAATTCATGGGGATACCATAGGTCAAAATTTACTTGATGGCCAGTAACAACAAGATAGTTGAATGGACAGAAACTGGGATCACTTTTTCTTTTTTTTTTCTCCTTGGGGGCGGGGGAAGATCTCTAGAAAAGGTCGTAATAATTTATGTCTTCTGATCCTGTCGTGGGTGTTTATTGTTTTTTTTTTAATTCCATTTTATGGTGCTTTTAGTACATTATTTGGAGGGTGGAAAAAGTAGACACACAGAGGCCCTTATTACATTCTCTGCAGCCCAACCCTAAATATTTATAATGTTTCTGTAGTGGGAAGGGTGCTGTTGACTTGCAGCCTATCTTGCCAAGAATTTGCATGATTGTGTTGCTAAGTACTTCTCAACAAACCATTTACCTTTTTCGCCACTTCCTTCTCACACTCTCTTACAAATTTCACTGAAAAACCAGATGGTATATTTTGAAATATTTTCTTCTTCCATGCATTTTCTGGAAAATTCCCTCATCTCCGCCCCACCTCCTGCATCCTAGCAAAGAAAGCAAGTGTCGAATTCTGACCAGCTTCCAAATATGAATGCAGACTCATTTGCTGATTGAGCTGCTTAATCATTACTGAACGTGAGTTCTCCCATTTTCTGGGGCTGCATTCATAGCCTGCTATTGATTACAACAGAGCCAGGGATGAATTCACCTCTTGCTTTCCCAGCACACAGCCATAAACCACCACCAGCAAAATGCATCTGTCACAATACTATTTGGTCACAAAAAATATCTGTTGTGCTATATGGAGACAGTAAAGGTCAAACTACCAGCTATTTGCCAGCTAATTATTATGACCTTATCCAGCATGAGCACAAAATCACTGCATGGTACTGAAACTAGCGGTGCTTTGCTATAATTCCTGCATTTCATCCTTGTTCTGCCTCTTAGAGAAGAAACATGTCATATTGAGCAGAGAGAAAGCAGCGCATGTGGTGCACTGTCAGGACCGAAAAAAGGCAGGTTGGAGATATAGTAACCTCTCTCATCCTGGAGGTTTTGTCCATGTACTGTATTAGGAAAGCTTGGATAGCAACATCACCAGGAGACCTAGAGTCCCTGAAGGTAGGAGTGCTGATTATCTGCCTCTCTCTCCCTCTCCTCTCCCTCTCCCTCTCTCTGTGTGTAGAGGATTCTAGTGACTCTCTGAAGGGTTTGATTTCCCTCATGACTGTTCAGCTGCTCTGGGGATGTTGTGATCTAGGAAACATCTGCCCTCTAAGCCTACCCTGAGGGTACCACATAGCATGAAGCTCTTAACTGCAGTTTATGGGCTTCTAGGTCCCAGCTCTTTCACAGGCAGCTGCACCAGTTTCGCTGAGCTTCTTTGGTGGGTCCTGGCGGTTTCTTATTCTTCTGAGCACAGCATCTTACTGTGCTGTGTCTAGGGAGAGTTTGGAAGAGTTCCCTTTCTGGACAACAGCTGCCCCAATCCCCCAACCGGCCTGGCCAAGAATACCAAGAATTGTAATTAAAAAGAGGGGAATTTTCCCCATCTCTGCTTCTGTTGGGGACTGGCACTTTTGGACTTGTTGCCTTGTAGTGTGTCTACAATAGCTGTGATTGTGATGTATTGCACTCAGAAGTGGAGCACTAGAAATCATTCCAAACTGGCATTATATCAGACAAGGGGTGGGTGGCCTAAGAGGGCAGGTCAGAGGCTATGCCATCTTATCTCAGAATCAGAATAATATTGTGTTAAGGACACTTTCCTCCTCCTCATTTTTCTGGAGCCATTAGAAGATGTTGGTGTATCCCCTCTTTCCCAAATAAAATACATACTAGGCCTTTGCGAAAGGGAAGAGTTCTACTTTGTGCTCTAGCAGTTTGATCCAGTGGCTCAAAATCTCAGACTTCTACTTGTCTCGGACTTTTTTAAGGGATGTATTTTTTTTAAAGGGATGCCTTTGTGAGTCTCAGACATCAGTCTTCCACCTATAAAACGGGGAATAATTGTGACCCAGTGTACAGATTTATTAAGTACAACCAGACATCAGCTGCACTTCTCAGTCTGAAGTAATTTATGACCTCCAAAATGTAATATCATTAAGAGCTCTGCTCAGATCTTGCAAACCAACAGCATCTCATGTTAGGTTCTCCCTTCCTACTCCCCTCTTCTAGTAATATTTTCTTTTCCAGTAAGTTCTGCTCAGGTCTTGCAAGCTAACAGCTGTGGCTTCCTTTATAAAAATAATTTGTCTCACAGTAGGTCTTCCTCTCTTTCTACTGCCCCTCTATTTTTTCCTAGCAATATTTTCTTTTCCAGTGAGGTCTGCATTATCCCATGTGCTTGATAGGATGGCTGCAGTTTACTCATTTTTTGCTCTAGGAAAAGTTCAAGCTTGACTTGATTGAGCACCCATTTTCATTGCCTTTCTCACTGTCTGTGGTATCAGTAAGGTTCATCTCCAAAATCACATTTCAAACAAGTTAATTTTTGTGTCCCTGTCTTTCTTCACTGTCTTTCTTTCACATAGTATGGATGGTTTTGACCTTGGTTTCCACTGACAGTCTTTGCTAACGCCCAGCTCTCCCAGAAAAAAAAATTTCAAAGGTTAAAGGGACATCTTTTGCAAATGTCACACAACTTGTCTGTACAACCTTTGGTCCAATATAGCTTTTCTTCCTCAGGTTGCCAGGATAGGGTTTGGAAATTGGAACATTGCTCTCTCTAGTCTGCATTCTGCCCGAGAGGTTAAAGGGTGTGTCTGTTTCTTTGCTGTCTGTGTTGCATTTACTCAAACCTTTGCTTCACAGTTCCATGAAATCGAAAAGCAGCCGTTACCAAAATATTTTGGCATGGAGGAACTGCGGGCACAGGCCAGCTGTTCTTGCTTCTGTCCTCTCCCAGCTACCATAGTACAGATTATGGGCTCATCTTTTGGGATCCTCTAGTATTGGGCAGATTTCTGTTGGAATTTAAGTAGACATACACTACACACAAATTTGCATTTTAAAAAGCCTAGATATTCAATTCTTAAAAAAAAACTAACAACAACCTTCTGTTCATGGATATGGAATATTCTGTATCCACAATAATGACACGCAGCTGTACATCTCCTTTTTTCCAACAGCAGTGCATGCCATTGCGCCCCTGGAGGCTGTATTGCAATGGATGCAGAAGAACGGACTGAGGGTGAACTTAGAAAAGACGGAGGTCTTGAGGGTGGGCGTTCAAGTCATCAGTGGTTTGGGAAGCTCCTTCTCTTTTGGGGGTGGTGATTCTCATCACAAAGAGTGTGGTCCACAGCTTGGGGGTCCATCTTGACCCAGCGCTTACTATGCAGTCCCAGGTAGCATCTGTGGTCCGCACCACCCATCTACATCTTCAGTGGATTGCCCAGCTGCACTCCAATCTTGATGTTGGGGCGTTCACCACTCTAGTCCATTCACTCATAATCTTGAGATTAGACTACTGTAATGCGCTTTCCATGGGCCTGCCCTTGAGATTGATGCGGAAACTACAAATGGTCGAGAATACGGCTGCTAGGCTATTAACTGGGGTGAAAAAATATTGTCACATTTCTCCCACTCTGACAGCCTTACACTGGTTGCCCATTCGTTTCCGCATTAACTTCAAGGTATTAATGCTTACATATAAAGCCCTAAATGATATAGGACCTCGATACCAGGCAGAGCACCTGCTCCTACCTAGCTCTACTCATGTCACTCAATCTAGCGAGGCTGGGCAGCTGAGGGGCTTGACCGTGAGAGAGGTCCGGAAGGAGAGAACTAGAAACCAGGCCTTCTCCATGGTGGCCCCTCGCCTCTGGCACATTTTGCCCCCTGAGATTTGTCTGGCACCCTTGCTGGGAGTTTTCAAGATCAAGTTGAAGATTTGGTTCTTTAAGTAGGCCTTCCCCCCTTCCATCACTTAGTTTCTTGAGTTTTACCATCTTGACTTTGCTCATCTATCTTTTTTGTTTTGATATTGTTTGTTTTAATTCTTGGTTTTATATTGCTTGGACTGTAAGCCATCCAGAGTAGATTCGTTTAGAATCTAGATGGGTGGGGTAAAAGCCAAACAAACAAAGAAAGAAAGAAACAAACAAACAAAGAAACAAACAAAAAGGAAATGGCTCAACATTGCTCCACAATATTGTGCCAGCAGAAAATAGGATGCCAAGCTTTTCATAGCAAAAGGCAGCTTGAATGTGGGTACCAATGGCAGCGGTCAGGATGATCTACAGAAGTGGTCCCCAACCTTGGGCCTCCAACTCCAACTCAGACTTCAACTCCCAGAAACAAACAAACAAAGAAACAAACAAAAAGGAAATGGCTCAACATTGCTCCACAATATTGTGCCAGCAGAAAATAGGATGCCAAGCTTTTCATAGCAAAAGGCAGCTTGAATGTGGGTACCAATGGCAGCGGTCAGGATGATCTACAGAAGTGGTCCCCAACCTTGGGCCTCCAACTCCAACTCAGACTTCAACTCCCAGAAATCCTGGCCAGCAGAGGT